TTTTTTTTTTTTTTTTACTCACTAGCAAATAACTTATTTTCTATAATGAATTATTTTTTTTACAAAGTGTATCTCAGCCATTGATTTGGACATTCCCCTAAGCAGGCTTCCCCAGCATGGTACCATGGCTCATTTTTACAATGTTCTTTTGGATATGCTCAAGACCCCCATTTTTTCTGGGAATGCTTAGTAAAATCTCTCTTCCTAAATATGTTTTCAGATTCTGGTATTTCTGATTCTGCAATAGTGGGTTGGATCCATTGTTAAGTGAAATAGATCTCCATGAAACAGATGCTTCCATGGACAGAATGGGGAGGTGGATTTTTCCTCCTCCCCTTACAGCAAGCCGCAAACTGGAAATACAGTATTGAGAAACAGGACTGGAAGTGATGCTAGGTGCTGGAGAAAGATTATCAGGGAAAATCACTTCTCCCCCTTTTGCTTGCGTTAGTGTCCAGCTTGTAAGGGGTCTGCTAAGCTGACTTCTTTGAACTAAATAATTGTTTTTCATTCGCAGAATAGGAAGTCTGGATCCAACCCAATAAAGTGATTATTTCACATGAAATGCTGGTGAAATTCTATTGTGTTGATCTAAATGTGGGCCAATTTAGATCTTAAGCACCGTGCTATGTGTTTCTTCATCTCCAAATGTTGAATTTAATTCACCCAACATTTAAAGTTTTTTTTAGAAAACTTAATGTGATATTCCTAGATTTCAGGAGTTTATTTTCTTCTCCTTCAAACTATCTAACATAATGCAGCCAGTTTCTAGCAAAGTGCAGCCAGATGGCTTGGCTGTGCCCTATCTTTTACTGAAAAGTCTGTCTTCAGAGTCTATCATCAAATGCTTTTAGATACTAATGGAGGATCTTCTTTGAATGGTTGCTACTCCTTAATAATCAAACTAACACTGCCACTGCACTGAGATTTATGTGGTTAATATGATGAAAAATGCTTCAGCTAAATTCCTAAAACTGGTTTAATCCAAATAAGTTTTGAGAACTCATGAGTAGACTCTAAGTTGCTTTGGCATGGAGTCAGCAGATTGAAACAGAAGCAAGCGCATATGTGTGCACATATACTCACAAATAGATATAGAGAGAGGAAGTTGCAATTACACAGCAAAGATTAACAAGATGAATAGACTGGAGCAAAGAGATCAATAGTGTATTAAAAACAGTATAAATATGGCTAATACAAATAATGGTTATGAAAATAAAAGTCTGTGCATCGATGACTCCAAGTACCTAATTGACTTTGGGCTACAGGGTTTTTTGTTTGTTTGTTTGTTTTTTAAGGTCTTGTAAATATTGCTATTCTTCCAGAAATTTTATGAACCAATTCCGTGTCACTGGGTACATGGAGTTCACTGAATCAATCTGACACTAATCTTGAGTTTTTGTACCAGTGGATGCTGGGAAAGATAGATGAAATAAACAGACTCTCTGGTCTGACTTTCCTGCTTTATAAAAAGTTCCAGTAGTTCCTCCTCCAGTATATAAAGCTTCCATAGCTGTGTGTATGTAAATTTCATATTTAGATTGAGAATCTTCTCCCACAAGTAGCACTTTCTGACCTAGGCTAGTTTGAGAATGCCCATATCAGCATAGGACAGTTTCCAGGCAAAACGTCTTAAACTATTATCAGTAGAAGGTAGATCCCATGCTGCAGCCTTGTCTAGTTTCCTCTTCTAAATTACTTTAACATTATCTTATATATAAAGTTATATCTGGGAGGAAGTCTGGCTTTTGCTCGCTAGAGGTTATATCTTTTCTAGGAGTGACTTCATTGCAACTCCAAATACTTCATTCAGTAAACTAATCATAACACATTTCTGTAGCTGAAGAACCTGTCCAAAACTCCTCTCATCTTCTAATTCCTCACTGGAAGGAAAAATTAGAAATACTGCAAGGGATTTCTGTACACATTTTTTTTAAATGCAATTAAAAATTGACCATGAATATACTCTATAGGTGGCACTATATTCTACTAAATTATACTATATAAATATCCACCTTTCTAGATTGTGTTAGCAGAATTGAGAACAAATTGGTACATATTACCATCTTTGGTGGCAACTCCCAATTACTCGGTTCTTTGATCAAATGTTCTTGAAGAACTTGGGGAAGATAACCCAACAGTTTTTCACAATTACTCCTATTGGTTTATTGATCATTATTTCTATACATTGATGCAACAATGAAATTGAATCAGTTCCTGTTTCTAGCTGCTAAGCTTGCTATTGTAATATTCTAGGAAGCTAATTGAAACAGTAGTAATTAAAATTTTGGGAAATAGCTCTGGCTGAAAAACTAGCACAGTAGTTAAAAGCTTTGAAAATTGATACAATTAAGGATAAATGTATTCAAATATGGTCACCCAGTTACTAGCTACATTAACAATGTTTTTCTTAATAGGTTACTTTCATCTTTGCAAATGTTATTTTGGATAGAAACACTGAACATGGGTGGTTAAAATGTTCATGTTTCTCTGTAAGATCACATATTTATTTATCCATCCATGTGTGTGTTAGGACTGTGCAATACTTTGAATTCCTTTCTAAAAAGGTTCTTCAGAATGTCCAGGATACAAACTAAGTATCTGTTTGCATCTCTTTAAAGTTGCTGTGGCAGCTGCAGAGGCCAGCCAGGTAAGCTGCAGAAAAGATACAGCTACTTTAAAAAGTTGCAGAAAGATGCTACATTAACACCCCATGCACTCTAATGTGCTTTTTGTTTAACACGTTCATCCAGTGTATTGCATAGCCCTGGTGCACATTCATTCACAAGTTTCTATTCTGTCTTTTCACTTCACAGTTGGAATTAATCTAACAAAGGTAATATTATAAAATAGGTTTTTGATTGCTGAACATCTCAGTATATAAGGGTCAGGAAAAATGCTTAACTCAGGAATAATTTTGGCAAGTCATGAATAATTTTGTGCATTTTAAAACGTACACAAACAATATGAGAGCCAGTATGGTGTACTAGCTAAGGTACAAGACTAGGAGCAGAGAGAACCAGGTTCTAGTCCCCTGTTAAACTGGGAGGTTGAAAAACATCCACCTTCCAACCTGCACTGGACTAGCATGATATATTATGATTATGGTGACCATATTTTCATGGAAAAAAATAAAGGACAAATCTGAAAAAGGGCAAATCTGAAAGAGGCTCATACTTTTTAAAAATTTGTTCATGTTTATAACTTTGCTTTAAAAGAAAAATTCAAGAGCAAAACCAAGAGAAACTTTACAAAAATGCATATTCTAATAAAAAACATCTAAAATCAAACAGTATATGTAAATTTATTTTTAAAAGACAATTCAATTTCCATAATTTTCACACGAATGTGAAAGACTGTGCATTAAGTGGTACCATTTGTAGGTATAAAAGTTAAATGAACCAAAATAAAGGACAAAAGTGAAGTTTTGAAAAATAAA